GCCGCGAAGCGATTGTAAAAAAGAGGTGCTGCCACGGAGCTACCTGCCGTTCGTGAATGTGCATGAAGTTTGACATTGACCTCCGGCGAGCGCAGAGAACTTACATGCTTGGCTTATAAAAATAATTTGTCGCCATATAAAGCAGCCGCGGCGTGCAATCTGAGCAATCTCGCATAATGGAACAAAAGGCAGCAAGAGAACAACATCAGACGCTAAAAATTTATTATTTTAATTTTAGATTTATTTTTAAACGTAATTAAAAAATTGTATCAAAGTTTTAAAAAAAACTGGCTCTTAATTTTTATTTGATTAAAAAATTTAGAAACCGTTGTAAAGGTGCAACATTGAAATTGAATTGTTTGAAAATTCTCAAAAAAGAATAAAAGAGGTAAAATCCAGTATAATCTTTTGAGCTGCTTCCAAAATTAATAAGTGTTTAAATTTTATAAAAATAAAAAAAAAATATAAAATATTCCATAGCTATAAATATGGAATAGTATATTCTGGAACCGAAGAGAATGAAGTCAAAATAATCTTATATCTTCAAGCAATCACGATCGGCAACTTCATTAGGTGCCTATCTGGCTGGAGAAACCGCAAAGAGCAGGCGAAAAATCCCCGGCAGCAGCAGGCGGTGCTTTTGAGTGATTTATTTTACGCCCGGTGATTTGCTCGCGATTAATTCATCTCCGCTCGCGGGAAAGTGAAGATCAAAACCAGAACTCGGCCTATTCCCTGAGGGCCACTTGATCAAAAAAATATTTATATTCGGTCATTGTCGTTGATCACTCCATTATGCTAATGCGAATCGCTTTCCTTTGCTAATTGCTCTCGCCGCCTTAATTTCCTTTTCTCTTCACTGACCCTTTTTCGTCCCATTCAGGTCGGGACCCTTTTCACCTGTTAAGAGATCACAATCGAAAAGCCTACTGCGATCGCACATGGCAGATTAATTTGGCCAGTCCGTTAAGAATTTTCTTGACGAGTAACGAGTTTATTGCTCACATATTCACCGATGTTTATTGCTGCAATAGACTTCAATTTAGTACATCTGAGACAACTTGTAGCAAATGCCGTATAACATCAAAATTATTGACTGCAATACAAAGCTTCTGGCGGTGAAAAAAATTACGTTCAGGGGCGTCAAATTAGATTTGTTTAATTATTTAAAGTGTTTAAAAGAAAGATAAATTTAACCAGAAAATGTTAATTACAATCCGTTCTATGGTTTGAAAATTAAATACGTAAATAATAAATTGACATTTAATTGAAATTTCATTCATCGTTAAAATTAATTCAGATTTTATTCAAGAACATTTTCGCTAATAACTTTCTTGTCAATCATCAGCTCATCAATCATTTCATTTGATTTTCATATAATTATAAAATTTATTTCACTTTTTGTTAAAACTATTAATTGAAATTGTTGATAAGTTCATTTTGGGTTTCATATGTTGTAAATGAAATAATATTTAGGGAAACAACAAAAATAATTCAGGCTCTGTGTATGCAACCTGCCAATCAAAACGTGGTTGTTCTATCTTGCATTTCATAATTATTTGATCAAGACGATTTAAATTTTTTACATGATTTTACATGCATACTTGCTATACAGATAATTGGTTCTGAAAGCGATTGCAGATCTTTTATTTGCGTGTACACGTGGTCCTCGATCGAGTGCTGCTAATAGAGCTGCGAGCCCGCGTGACGTCACTGGTGTGCGCGGTTACGGTTCGTAGTTAGGCGTTCAACTCTGATCGGCGCCCACCTGAGTAAAAGCAGAGCTCGTTCGCACTTGCTTGTCGCTCCCCTGAGTCTGCACCACAGCACACAAGGTCACCACACAGAGCTAAGGAACTCTGCGCACGCCTCGCCTTCCTTGCGCATTTCATTTTCGGCTCATTCTCGCGTGGCGATTTGAACGCCAGAATTAAGTAAAAAAAAAAAAGAAGAAATTAATCATAATTTTAATATAATTTCATTAGCTGATTAACAAAAGTTTATATAAACTACACGTTAATAAATTTTTAAATAACGTTTTAAATTTTATTTTTTTATAAATACCATTTTTTATTAAGTTTAATTTTACTTTTTTATAAAGTTTATTTTATAAATTCTGTTAATTTTATTTTTAAATTTACATAATCCATGTAAATTTGAACTTTAAATTAATTAAAATAATTATAAAGTACGCTTCAATTTATATATGATTTTAAAGTTGATTTTCTAATTATTGATTAATAAAGTAAATTTAATCTAAGATTTTGTTTTCGTCCCAAACAATGTCATTAGATGCTACCATTGATGTTAAAAAATTTCATTTATTTATATTTCTGATATTTCTGATTGAATTTTTTTTGTAATCATGCTTTTTTTTAAACAAAATTAACCAATGCGAATACCTTGCTTCCTTGCTTGTTAATTTTGGCTTCTCCAATCAAAATAACTTGTACTATTCACTAATTAAAATATAAATCACGATAACGTCGCCGAAAGTTGCATGAACGTAATTAATCACGTTCCAAGTAATTAAAGTCAAGTCGCGTCAAACAAGAATAATCTTAATGAAAATCGCAGGGCTTTTCGCCGGAGCCGAGATTCTCTTGTCGCAAGAACGGCAGACACGAGATGAGTCCAAAGACTTTTTCTTTCTCTTCAATGTCGACGAGTCGGCGGCGGCGCGGCACATATATATCTTTTTGCTCCGCTTCGTTCGCGGTATTGTTTTCTAATTTATCGCTTCTTTTCCGAGAAGGCCGGGGAATCATTTTTTATCGCGCACCCCGCTGCTGCCGAGCACTAAGCCGATTTGCCGGCAGAAAGAATATATATAAGGTTTTTTAAGCAAAACAATTAGACGCGCTGCAAAGCATCACAGGAAATGCCGAATTATTTGCTAATAGGCTCTGCTTTAAAGCGGCGGACGGCTGCCCAAAGAATATGCTTGAAAACTCTTTAAAAAAAGGATAAATTAATTTGCCATGGCCACAATTTCTTTAATATTTATGAAAATTTGTTAAATTTTAGTTGTTAAAATAATACTTAAAAATATTAAGCATTTTTTATCCACATTTACACAAAATTTAATAAATAATAATAAAAATCATGGTATTTAAAACAAGAAAGTGCTAATTTATCTGTCTGAAGTGAAAATAGCAAAACGACCAAAATTAATTCCACGGGCTTTCTTTTTCACTTTAAAAATTTTATTCTTCATAGACTTCATATAGTTATCACTATTGAAGCTGAATTTCTTGTGGGATAAAACCTTGAAAAACGTTTTCTAATTATTACTTTAGTCATCTCATTAAATTGGAGGCAGAAAATTTGGATAAAATCTGTGTTACCGAAGTTCTGAGAAAAACTTTCTGCCGAGGGCGTTCTCATCGAAAATCGCTGGAAGGTGGATTAATTAATCACGTTCCATGCGCCGTTAGCAGAAAATGCGGCGTAAAATGATATCGTTAAATTAGCGTCGGTGCCACCGGAATCACGAGCGAACCACACAAGTCGACCGCAGGAGAAAAGAATCATCAGTGAAAAAATATCTAGTTTGTTAATTGCTCGCAAACAATCAAAGGAAAGTCGCACGAGCGTCCAATTGAATTCGTCCGTAATTAAATCGGCGCGGAGAGAGACGAATGCACGAGGCCGATTCAGCAAGGAGATTTATTTGGGCCACATGAATTTTTTTATATCCCGCATGTGTCGTGCGCACGGATTGATATTGAATAGGAAGTGTATAAAATGTATTATGAAAAGCTGCTGGCTGCCGCCGATGAGCAAGTTGAATTGGAGAGAAAAACGGTTCATTTCTCCGCGCTCTTGTAATGGCATTGCATGCCTAATAATATTTAAATGGAGCGTTTATTTCATCTTGTGAGGCGTAGCGGGATTTCGATTATTCATTCGTTCGCCGGGCTTTTGATCGGCAAAAAAAGAGACGCACGTAGCCTCTTTTTCAGCAGCTGCGAGGAAAAGAATGGGTGAAAAATTTCCCCAAGCTTTCCGTCATATAAGTGAATCATTAGAACCAAAAGTTGGTTGTTTGTTCAGGATACATAAAAAATAATAAATTTAAATCTTTTGGAAAATATTTAACTTAAATGAGATTGTTTTAATACTAAGATTATTGTCACCAAGATAACGAATGCAAGATTGATTTCAACAAAACTTTCAATTAGTCCTTTATTACTTAGAAATATCAATGATTTTGAATGACACAATCATTTAGTTAATTTTCAGTATGATGCAACGAATTTGAATTAATATAATTGTCATTTAAGCTAATTATTTTTAAATTAATCTTTGAAAAGTTTTTAAATTTATTAAATTATGCTTCTTTTAATATTCCAAATTCTAGAACTAAATTATCGGCATTTTTAATTTTTAAATTAAAACTTAATATTTTTCCGCCTGCAATTCGCACAAGGCTTGGCCAGTGCTGTTAAAATCTCATCTCTCGAAAAAACAAATTTCCTGGCAAATGAATCCCGTGCAACCTGGCAGCATCGGTAACACAGTGTGTGTGTGTGTTTTAATTTCACGGTTCATCTGACATACACACGAAAACCTACAGTTATTGCACTCAGCTATTGCTCTCGTTTAGCCAATTAAATCTCACAGGAGCCGAAACGTCCAATAATGTATTTTGTCAAGGCAAGCGGCGAAGATCAATGATTTGACGAGGTACGTTCATTTTTTCCTCTGTTTCATTGACTTAACAAAACATAGAAGAACAAATTCATAAAATTCTTTTCTTCAAATAAAAATTCAATTTTTATAAAAGATAAAAATAAAGAATAAATTCTGAAATTTTCAAAGATCAAGATTTGATCGAAATTGTAATTACAAATTTTAATTAAGCAATGTGTATTATTAATACAATTATATTATTCGTCAACGATTACACTTTTCAAATTATCCATGTTAATTCCATGTTTTAAATTATATCAAAGATAAAAATGAAGCAGGATAAATTGAAATTATGTTGTACTCACGAGAAATGATGAGGACGAGCAGGGTCGTCGCCGAAAACGCGACCACCAGACGGTGCATGCTTGCGTAAGTCCCTTTGGGGTTTTTCGCAGCTGATTCAGCGTCGGGTCGTCGGTCGGGTGCTGCTGGAGGACGAAAGAGAGGAGAAGGTTCGTCTCAGTCGCGGCACTGAAAGGCACTGAGCCATCCTCGACCAGACGCCGGGTTATAGCCCGCCGTGGTGGGGTGATTTCCGCGAGCTCCAGTCGCTCAAGCACCAAGTAGAAACATCGACGCTGGCAATCTGCGATAATACTTTTGTCAGCTCGCGCAGTATCATTTTATTTTAGGTTATTCAATATATTTTTTATTATAGAAAATATTATTCCAATATTTTTTAATTATCTTCTCTGCGCAACATATATTTTTTAAAGTTATTTTCTATATTTCTATTTTAATAACAATTATTTGCTTTTAAATATAAACATACATTTTTACTTTGAAATTGCAAATTCGTATTAAATTTTTTGTAAATAAATCCCAAAAGGAATTAGCGATCACTATAGAAGTAATAATTATGCAACTAATCCCGATGGAAGACTGGCTCGTATTGATTCATGCGATATAGATTTTGATTAAAAAACGTCCTAAAAGAGCACAGGAAAAATAAATATATATATTTAATAATTTTTGTGGAATTCCTGGAATCTGGATGGTACAAATTAAATAGTCCTATTGATTGGAAAAACTTAAATTTGTGCATTTGAAATTATTTTATTTTATTTATTGTGAATACTTTTATTGTTGTTATTAATTCTTCATAAATCGAGTCAAAATAAGAGTGTTGCTTCTTTCAAATTTGGTGCTTTGATGCCTATGCATATTTTTCTATATAAATAAAAATGGAATTTGTTGGATTTTGTTGGATTTTGTGAATCATTTTTATTTTTAGGGTATTTTTCCACGATTTAAGTGTGAGAGCACATCAAAAACTATACTCGCACGTGCATTTCTCACCGCAAGAGTTTTACAACTTGGCGAGGTTCGCAAAGGTTAATTCTACATGGAGCGCGGAGTGCACTTGTTACCCGGTCGGTTGCTCATTCCCGCCGCGGCCAAAAGTAAACTAGGTTCAAAAGCTCACGACTCTTTTCCTCAGCAACGCTAAAAAGGTCAATATCCACGTTTTTATAGGAAAGTGGTGGCCATAATTATGATAATCACGTGTGGGGTTACACACATACTTTGTTGGCGCATGAATTAAAGAGTGCAGCTTGGCCTTTGGCCCTGGAGCGAGAGAAAATAAATTCAGGCCAAGCGCAAGAGCCGCGAAGAGCCAAAAAGAGTCTCGTCCTCAAGCTCCATTGAGGAATATATAGGCCAGCGCTGCTTTCGCGAGCGCGCACACATGGATCAATTTCAATTCAAACTTTAGTGACGCCGGCTCTTTTATTTCCTCGGCTATATGTTTTATTTTCTTTCTCTCTTCCGACCGTCCGTGCGCACATAAATTTTAATTGACCGAAACTCGTTTTATTTTTTTCGAACGCCGTGTATGCTCGGCGCATATATTTACATACGAATTTTACGGCAGACGTCTCGAGAGCCTTTCAGAATAGCTTCTCTTTATTTAAACAACCTACATATTATGTAAATCTGAATCCTCCTCGTTGTTTAAATTGCTTTCTTTCCGCAAACAAACCCCTCGATTGGTCTCCAGTACATTTTCGAGTCTCTCTTTGATCGCTCTGCGTGCAAGAAGAAATCTTCCAAGGTGTCATTGCAGGATATGAAATGATGATGGACTGCTTGTTTCTCGGAATGAAATGGCGTTCATGAAACTTCACTACCTTTTGCGATGGTTCTTTAAAGAACTTATTGTGAGTATAAAAAAAATCAGCATTGGTGTTTTATCAAAGAAATTCATCGGTTAATTCAGCTGTGCGCATTATACAAGTCACCGGAATAAGATTTGCTTTTTTATTACTGCATCAGCATTATAATTTAAAATTACTTTCCACATAAAATTTTTAAAGCTCATTCAAACAAAGCTCATTCAAGGACTCTGAGCATGTAGAGAATAGTACTAAACTACTGCATAAAAAGTGGCTTATAAATTACAAACAATTTATGGGAATTTCACGCACTTAATTAATCAGCAAACATTAAATTCAACGAAATTAAATAAAACAGCGTAAAGATATGGAGGATATACTCTGGCAACGCCGTTGAACTGGCAAGTGAGGTGCAATTTTATCACAGAGGCATCTTTTTAATTGCACCTGTTGATCAATTACATGCTCATTCGAGACTGTTAAATCTCTCTCGCTCCTCGACGTACGTAGAGTGTAATGGTCTTCCTGACCTCTCTAATGATATAACGAGACGCTCGTCCACCGCAAGAAAAGTATTAAACGACATGACAGTTAAAAGGCGTTTTTGCTCGAAAAAATTTAAATCGCCACTCGGAAATGAAGTTGAAAGAATATCCAACGGATTTTATTGCTCTGCACGTTGTTTTGATCTTTTTTTGTGTGAATTAACGGTGCTTAGGAGTGAAACAAATATTTCACGATGGTCAACGTGATTTATTTCCAAGCAGAGTGGGAAATTATTCGGATTGTGGGAGGAAAATTCAAAAGTGATAATTTTACGACACATAAATTTAAAACGTGACAAGCGCTTGCGAGATTGAGAATTTTTATTTTTGATGGCGGCGCCGGTTCCGTTTATTATTATTATTATTTCGACCTTTAATGGGGAGGCACTAAGTGCAGAATCCCACCTAAATTATTGTTGTAACAAGAGATGAAGCGCCTCTTTTGAGCGACGACTAACCTTTCGCCCAACTCTGATCGTGCGGCGCGTAAATAAACTCAACCGGATGTTTTCAAAGCCGCTAATGGTGCTTTATTATATAAGTTAAAACGCTTTCAAAACAAACCGTATTCACAAGAAACACGACGTTCTCGTAACATCTCATTTACATCCACCTTCAAAATGCAGATGGGAGAGAAAGAGAGGCAAACAGTGGGTTGGGAGTGATGGATTCCAAATAATATGATATTTAAATATTATGGTTCTAAAATCTTAGGGTTTATTGCTTTAAAAATTTTGAGTCGGAATAATATTATATTATTTGTATAAATTTTACATTTAAATAAACTTTTGACTTTATTGTGCAATTTAAGTTCCCTATTTTGAATAAAAAAGTTTTGACCTGGGCAGAGGTCACTAAGGGTAGCAACCGGCTCACCTACAGGTTGCATAAACAAGTTGGTCTCGATTCCTTCCAGAGATCAGATCGCTTAATTAGGGCTAATTGGACACCGACAAGTCTATTTATTGCTCACACAATCAGTTGAACCCGCACTCGATATTGATTCCGAGAGAGCAAAAATAAAGCAACTGATTTGTTCTTGCTGCGCATATTCCGCACCGAGCATTGCACTTTCTTGTAAAAGCGAGACAATGATAATCAGACGCGAGAAAACCTGATTTTCTCTGCACTTGCTGATTTATCGATTTGATATTTTCCGCCATGTGCCGCTACTCAGCTTAATTGATAAATAATCCTCGGAGCGCGAGGTGACATCAATTAATAACGCACCTGCTGCTCAAAAATAGATCATTTTCTTGGCGGCGATTGTGAAAGGGAGTGAGTTATAATCGCAGAAAATCGAAGCGCTGTGTTAATTTGCACACACACGCAACGATAATATGCTGATTGTATTCAGTGAATAATGCGGGGCAATCGCGTCGCGCGCGATTACCGTTACCGAACGTCTCATTACGATCCGAGATGGAATCTCCCCAAGAATCTCTGCCAACACGCAACGCCATAATTGGCGTGTTAATGAGAAATTTGCATTTGTGAAATGACAAATGAACGCCGACGGGCTTTATTTGCGCACGCGGTGGCAAACGTGACGTTTTGTCTGCTTTGCTAAAACAATCTGCTATGAAATTATAAGCCTGAGAGATGTTTGGAAGTGATTAATTTGGCACTGTTTCGGATAATGAATAATTATTCTCACAGGAAACTAATTGATTATTTAGGGTTTACCGCCGGATTTAAATTGGTTGTATGGAAATTGGAAAATTTAGTCATGAAAATTTGGACAAATGCAGTGAAACGGTCTTAAATTGCGATTTACATAGGCGACTGGCAAAGTAAGCAAAGCAGATATATTGCGAGGACGAGGCTCTCGATTAGAAAGAGCGGTGCTCGACCAGTGGCGGTATGCAATGCAGCCTCGAAGGCCGAACTCGCCAGCTGGAGCAACGGCCTGCAAGGCCAGGCGGCCACTCACCCTCTCTCTGCTGCGCTTGACCCACGCAAAAATTCCCAAATTAATAAGTATCCCAAAGTACCATCCCCTGCTCTAGTTCCTTTCTTTAAAAAACTTAAAAGAATTTTAAACCTTTTTTTATTTTGGACTTGTAATTATTCTTCCTGTGTTTGTGTTTTATTGGTTTAAATTTTTATTTTAGGCTTAGAGCTTACAATTAGACTGACTATCAAGAGTGTCAAGTTAATATCTTTGTATATGGGTATGATATCTTGATTAATTTTTTATTTATCTTTTTAACTTTATTTTCATAAATAACTCAACATTTTAAATCATAATAAATCATTTATGCAAGTTCTCGTGCTGTAAGGATATCAGGATGTTTTTTTTTTCTTAAAATATCAACAATATTCCAAAATTGTTTTTCAAATTTCATAATGCAGCTCTGAGAAGGTAAAAACAAATTTTTAATAAGCTATCATGCGGCCTATCATTATTAGATCAGAAAAGTCTACTCTAAAATATGTAAATAATTGAAGATAGGACTGTATTACTATGTTTATATGTTGCACATGAAGCACATTGCACTGAGTCATCATTACATATGGTCATGGTGATAAGTCGATAAAGATGAAAACAATTAAACTAGATTATGTGAATTTTAAAGTTCTATATATTATGGAGTTCTATAGCCATCATGTGTGGTTTATAATGCTAATTTGAATATTATAATTATTTGATATTTTAATAAAATATTTATAAGTTTATTTTGCATTTAATTAATAACAAGTAAAATTAAAAATACATACAAATTATTAAAATTAAGCTTATTCAAATTCTTTTAGAATTTTAAAACAACATATTTCTGAAGTTAATTAATTATCTTTAAAATATATCATAACTTATTTATTTATTAA